CTTTTAGGTACTTAACATCTGCTCTCATGTCCCCTCTCAGGCTGTGTCTTGACTGCATCCCTCTGTCAGCAGAGGGATGCAATTAGACACTTCAAAGTTGATAATGAAGCGGGGATTTAAATATCCCGCACTTCGTTAGCATAAAAATGGCCACCGCTTTTTTTCGACGTGGAGCTTTGTCAAAAAAAATGACAGTCTAGCCGCGGATCTTTTGAAAAATAAACCCTTTTTCAAAAGATCCTGTATGCCTCAAAAATGAGTTTTTTTTCAGAGTTTCTAATCTGCATCCTCTGCCAACAGAGGGATGCAGTCTAGATGTAGCCTCTGTGTTCTCTTTTAAACTAAACAAGCCCAGTTCTTTCAGTCTTCCCTCAGGTTTTCTAGACCTTAAATCATTTTTGTTGCTAGCAAAGTGGCTGCCTAGCTGTACCAGCTCTATGCAGGAGTGTCCCTGAGTTGGCCCAGCCTGACTCCCATCTCCAGCAATTGCCCATTAGGAAAAGCAGATCTCTTCAACATCCAGAAAATGCGCAAGTTCTTCCTTTCTGGATGACAGCCCAGGAGAGACTCAGTGGGCTGTGGCCCATGATAGTCCCTCTCTCTGTCAGATCAGAAATAGCGCTGTTGTAATGAGCCGTCAGCCGAGTGGGAAGCCAGGACGTCTGGCAGCATAACACAGATCACTGCCACTTGAGTTAAAGGAGTCACTTTGCTAGCTGCCGGCAATAGCAGGTTCTTATCCACTAGTGAGAGAGTCAACATGCATGTGGTCAATGGGGTGCATTCGGAGACTTCGCACGGGGATGAAGACATGTATATGGTTATGAGGAAACACATGTCTACTCGGGGGAGTTATTTTGAAATAACTCCTCTTACTTTGAAATAACAAGGCAAGCGTTCACACTACAGGCACGTCTACACAGCAGCGTTACTTCAGAATAACTGACGTTATTTCAAAGCAACAAAGGGCGCCTCTACACAGCAAGCCGTTATTTCGACATAATGTCGAGCTGGAGGACTTCTAACTCCAACTCCTGTAACCCTCATTTCACGAGGCGTTAGAGAAGTCGAAGGAAGAGTGTTCTTCCTTCGATTTCCTGAGGTGTAGACAGCGCCAAAAGCTGAGTTAGGCTATTTTGACTTCAGCTACACAATTGTCGTCGCCGAAGTTGCATCGCTTACTTTTACTTTTCCCCTGCTGTGATGATGTGCTCTATTAATCCCGTTATTTCAAAATAATGGGCTTGTTATTTTGAACTAATCACTCCTGCGTGTGAAGAGGAATAAGCTTATTTCGAAATAGTTATTTCAGGAATGATTACTTCAAAATAACCTGGTAATGTAGACATATCCATAGTTCTTAAGAACCATTGCTAAAGCCGTTAGCACAATACACTCCAGTGTTTCTTCATAAGAACATAAGAACGGCCATACTGGGTCAGACCAAAGGTCCATCTAGCCCAGTATCCTGTCTGCCAACAGTGGCCAGCACCAGGTGCCCCAGAGAGGGTGGACCGAAGACAATGATCAAGCGATTTGTCTCCTGCCATCTCTCTCCAGCCTCTGACAAACAGAGGCCAAAGACACCATTTTATCCCCTGGCTAATAGCCTTTTATGAACCTTACCTCCATGAAATTAACTAGCTTCTCTTTAAACTCTATTATAGTCCTAGCCTTCACAGCCTCCTCTGGCAAGGAGTTCCACAGATTGACTACACGCTGTCTGCAGAAGAACTTTCGCTTATTAGTTTTAAACATCAAGTGATTCCTCCCCTGTCACCCATTCCCAGCCTGACAAACTGAGGCTGAGGACACCATTCCTACCCACCCTGGGTAATAGCCATTCATGGAGCTGTCCTCCATGAATTGATCTAGTTTATAGTTTCATCATGTGTATTTTATTTTTCACCGCAAGTCACTTTTTCTTTCCCTCCATGTGATGATTATTGATGGGTAACAGTTTTGAAACAAAACTAGTATCCTCTCTCTCTCTCTCTCTCTTTATCTCAGCGCATTGTCAATCTGTGGAACTCCTTGCCTAAGGAGGTTGTGAAGGCTAGGATTATAACAGGGTTTAAAAGAGAACTAGATACATTCATGGAGGTTAAGTCCATCAATGACTATTACCCAGGATGGGTAAGGAATGGTGTCCCCAGCCTCTGTTTGTCAGAGGGGGGAGATGGATGGCAGGAGAGAGATCGCTTGATCAGTACCTGTTCGATTCCCTCCCTCTGGGACACCTGGCATTAGCCACTGTGAGCAGACAAGGTACTGGGCTGTTCTTACGTTATGTTCCCTCTCTCTCTCTCTGTATTTTCATTTCATTCTGTCTATATCTCTTCCTTTCTTCTCCGGTTTCTCATTTTTCTCCCGGCACATTCTACCCTGTAGATAGTCACATCTCTCTTATTTCTCTCGATGGGTTTCCGTTTTCATTTTGCTTACATTTCTTTATAAGTGGCTGGATTCTGAGCTCAGACTCTGACCTTTGATTTCCATTGTAAATCCACATGCAGCTGTTACAATTTACACGGGTGTACCTGAGAGCGGGTTGTAGCCCCCCCGCTTGTGTTTAGTTTGTGTGTGTGTCTTTGTCACCTTCTCAGCTGCATCTGTCACATGCTGCAAATTTTAGTTTCGACATGGTCAAATAGACGACCGCTAGATAAACCTTCAGTTAATTTTCACCTCTTTGGACTTTTGGTTTGTGACTTAAGAACATAAGAACGTAAGAATCATAGAATCATAGTGTTGGGTGACACCTCAGAAGTCATCAAGTCCAGCCCCCTGCCCAAGGCAGGACCAATCCCAACTCAACCATCCCAGCCAGAGCTCTGTCAAGCCAGGACGTAAACACCTCTAGGGATTGAACAGCCAGACTGGGTCAGACCAACGGCCCATCCAGCCCAGTTTCCTGTCTGACGACAGTGGCCAATGCCAGATGCCCCAGAGGGAGGGGACACAACAAATCCTCACATGATCCCTCTCCTCTCACCCACATCCAGACAAACAGAGGCTAGGGACACCATTCCTACCCATCCTGGCTAACAGCCATAAACCTCCATGAATCTATCTAGCTCTTTTTTGGACCCTCCTAGCCTTCCCCACATCCTCTGGCAAGGAGTTCCACAGGTTGACGGTGTGCTGAGTGAAGAAAAACTTCCTTTGGTTTGTTTTGAACCTGTCTATTCATTTCATTGGGTGACCCCCTAGATCTTATAGTGTGGGAATACGTGAATAACTTTTCCTTATTCACTGTTTCCATGCCAGGCTTATGGGGGATGTATACACTGCATCTGGAAAGTGAATTTCCTTTTTCTGGTTCACCAATGCACAGTAATTTTGATTGTGTTCTTGTGTTAAAAATACCAGTGTAACCTCTACAGCACAGAGTAGCTGCTCAGGACCAATCCCATCTGAGACCCCAGGTATGTGCACAGTTAGTTCTTTCACGCCACTGCCTGTCCTGCTGTGTTCACACTGATATTTTTATTCTGCTAGCTTGATCCAAATGAACCTACATCTCTACCAGAGCTGGGAATTACACCTCCCGGCTGCAGGATAGATACGCCCCTGGCTGAACTCCAAATATTTTTCCTTTCCAATCTCTTGATTTCTGTTACGTCTTCCAGATTAGTTGATATGACTATTGTACGCTAAAGACTTTTCCAAATGCCAGCCTGATTGTCTTTATTTCAATGTCAGGTGAGTTTAAGGTAGGTAGAGGGGACATTTCTGTGACAAAATAGGGTTCCATGCTCTTGGGTCACCTGTATTTGGGACTTTCTCTGTGTATTGACAACGTCATTTCTATAGGGGAGTGGTGCATTTCTAAGGTGTTGCCTAGTCCAACTTTTTGCCAGTGTAACCGACAGCACAAACTGATTCAGAGGAGGAACCAAGTTAGTGTGTAACTGGAAAAAACGTAAAAAACAGCGAATAGTCTAGCAGCACCTTAAAGACTACCAACACATGTAGATGGGATCATGAGCTTTTGTGGGTACAACTCACTTCTTCACATGACTGGAGCATTCAGGTGCCAATTGTTCTTATCAGCCTCATGTAACTTGAACAATCCAATTCACTATTTTTTCTCCTCTTCCCCATCCCCGTCTTCCCTTCGGGTATGTCTACACTAGCCCTCTAGTTCAAATTAGGGAGGCTAATGAGGGTGACCAAAATTGCAAATGAAACGCTGGATTTAAATATCCCGCGCTTCATTAGCATGTTCCCAGCGGTCGCCATTTTGGAAATTGACTAGCCCAGAAGAACTGCCCGTGTCTACACGTGGCAGTGAAATGGGAGTTCGAAGTAAAGCCCTTAATTCAAATTAGCTGTTAAACCTCATTCCAAGAGGAATACCAGCTAATTCGAATTAGGGCTTTACTTCGAACTCCCGTTTCACTGCGGCATGTAGACGCAGGCAGTTCTTCTGGGGTAGTCAATTTCCAAAATGGCGACCGCTAATGAAGCACGGGATATTTAAATTCCATGCTTCATTAGAAATTTTGGTCACCCTCATTAGCCTCCCTAATTTGAACTAGAGGGCTAGTGTAGACATACCCGAAGGGAAGACGGGGATGGGGAAGAGGAGAAAAAATAGTGAATTGGATTGTTCAAGTTACATGAGGCTGATAAGAACAATTGGCACCTTCTCTAAGTAAACATTGCTAGGTTGGTTGGTTACGTCGTTAGGATGTGGAAGGTACCCAGCCAATGTCTTTACTCATTTCTCCCTGATAGGAATCAAACTTGTAACTGAAGTTCAGTTCCAACCCTTCCCTGTGTAATTGGTTTGCCGAATTGGCCTGAAACAACACGGTGAGTTGGAGATCCATTTATGAGTGCAGGTTCAAGTGTTCTCCAACAGGTTTCTGTGTGTTGCCCTTTCGGCTGCCTGATTTGTGTCCATTCATTCTTTCCCGTAGAGACTGTCCAGTTTGGCCAAACTGAGGGCATGTACCAAATATTTAACTCTTTTCTCTTTCTAGATAGACAGCATGGAGAAAGCAGAAGGAAGAAACCGAACACCCATTGCCGAATTCATCCTCTTAGGATTCGGGAATGGCCCTGAACTGCAGGCCCTTCTCTTCCTGCTGTTTCTAGCCATCTACCTAGTGACCGTGATCGGGAACCTCCTCATCGTTGCTCTAGTGGTGGCTGATCGTCATCTTCACATCCCCATGTACTATTTACTGGGCAACTTGTCTTCCTTGGAGACCTGCTACACCTCGGCCATTCTGCCCCGACTGCTGGCCAGTCTCCTGTCTGGGGACAGAACCATTTCTTTTAAAGGCTGCATCATGCAGTTGTATTTCTTCGGTGTCATGTCAGCTACAGAATGTCTGCTGCTCACCTCCATGTCCTACGACCGGTATCTAGCGATCTGCCAGCCCCTCCGCTACGCTGCGCTGATGAACGGCCGCGTGTGTGGCCAGCTGGTGGCCGGGTCCTGGATGAGTAGCTGTCTGGGCTGTGCCATTGTACATATTTTCTTGTTCCAATTAACGTTCTGCGATTCCAAGGAAATCGACCATTTCTTCTGTGACTTTTCCCCCGTGATAAATCTGTCCTGTGACGACACACGGATTCTGCAACTGGTGACATTTGTTATCTCTGCCATAGGGACGCTTGTGCCCTGTCTCCTGACCCTGGCGTCCTACGTGTGTATCATCACCACCATCCTGAGGATCCCGTCCAGCTCTGGGAGGAAAAAGGCCTTTTCCACCTGCTCCTCCCACCTCATTGTGGTGACTGTTTTCTACGGAACCCTTACTACGATCTATGTGGTTCCAACAACCAACAGCCCCAAGCTGCTAAACAAACTATTCTCCGTCTTCTACACAGTCCTGGTGCCCATGATCAACCCTGTTATCTACAGCCTGAGAAACAAGGAGGTCAATGAGTCTCTGAGAAAAGCTTTTCTTAAACTGGCTGCTTTCACACACAGGGACAGAATATGAAAGGACAAATTTTATCACATAATAAAATAGAGATGAACTGATATATCATGTTAGAAAAGGCCTACTTGAATCCTGGGTAACAGAGGAAAACCTACCTACCTACCTACCTTCCTTCCTACCTATCTACCTATCTATTACTCTATGGCTATGTCTACACTGGCACCCTTTTCCGGAAATGCTTAAAACGGAACAGTTTTCCGTTATAAGTATTTCCAGAAAAAGCGCGTCTACATTGGCAGGATGCTTTGCCGGAAAAGCACTTTTTCCGAAAAAGCGTCCGTGGCCAATGTAGATGTGCTTTTCCGCAAAAAAGCCCCGATCGTCATTTTCGCGATCGGGGCTTTTTTGCGGAAAAGACTACTGTCCTGTCTACCCTGGCCCTTTTCCAGAACAGTTTTTCCGGAAAAGGACTTTTGCCTGAATGGGAGCAGCATAGTTTTTCTAGAAAAACACTGACAATTTTACAGTAGATCGTCATTGCTTTTCCGGAAAAGCAAGCGGCCAGTGTAGACAGCTGGCAAGTTATTCCGGAAAAGCGGCTGCTTTTCTGGAATAAGTGGCCCAGTGTAGACACAGCCCGCACGTTCTTGCGTAAGTCAATTTATAGCGAAGTGTCAGAAAACAGGGCTTCTCCGGAATTGTTATTCCTCTCCCCACAAGGAATAAGCCCTCTTGTGCAAGAGCTCTTCCATAAGAAGGCAATGTAGACAGGAACCATGAATTTCTTGCGCAAGAAACCCCTATGGCTAAAATGGCCATCAGAGCTTTCTTGAATAAGAGTGTGTCCACCCTGCCATGGACACTCTTGCGCAAAAGCACACGGCAGTGTGGATGCGTTCTTGCAGAAGACCTTTTGCACAAGAACTCTTGTGCAAAACAGTTCTTGCACGAGAAGCCTGCAGTGTAGATGTAGCCCATTATTTTTGCAGCATTCATCTTTCATATATTTAATGCACAGTTCTTTCTAAAAGCTTGATATTGTCAGAAACATTCGTCGTGAGAAGTGGTCTTTTTTTCCAGACGTATATTTCAGTAAACCACTCTTCGTGAGTCATCTGCATAATGAACGCTCATTGCCACGTTTGGCAAGGGGTTGAAACATCTGAGTCTTTTCCACTCCCACAGAATCTCTTGGTGCTTATCCCTTTTTGTCAATGACACTTCTGAAAAGCGGGTGAAATGTCGACACCATAGCGAGTGGGGAACTGTGATTGGGCAGTGTTTGTTGCACTTCCTCAGACCTTCTGAGGAACGAACCCGGACAAAGGGCGGGCTGAAGCAGGATGGCTTTTGGGGTTGTGTATTGGTCCAGATTCTTAAGAGTAAAGTGATACTCACACACACACACACACACACACACACACACACACACACACACACACACACACACACACACATCACATTCATGCAGGCAGTTTGGAGGCGGGCTGCAAGCGTGGTGTAGATTACTTTTATTTTGCTGGTGGCTGGCGTCAGCTTCCCGGAGACTCAGCCATGAGGTTCCTTGGGAGATCCCTTCAGATCTTTAGGAGGCTTCACTTCCTCTGGGCCGGTCCCGGGCTTCTGCTGGGATGTTACATCTTATCCAAGAGGGAGAAAGCTTCTGGCTGCTTCTCAGTGAATTTATCTACTTGCAGGGTCTCTGCTTTAAAAGATCACGTATCCTAAACTGCCCTTTTGGTTGTCTATTTCTCATTCACATGTCACAGATATTCCACAGGCGACATGGTTACTAAGCAAAATAGGGCCTCATAGCCTTGAATACAAGAAACTACAGATAACATACCCAAGGCATGATAAAAAGCATCACAAACTGTAACTAAAAAAGCCAAGGTCAGAAAAAAAGGGGTAAGCAGGGGAGTACGTCTCGTCAGCTAAACACCAGTGAGAAGAAGGAAGGGGAGGTCGTGTCCAACCAGTTACAGTGTTCTGCACAAATCTGTAGCTGGATAAACAAAAAATGAAAGTCTGTGGATGTTTTGGGGTCTCTGCCCGTCCAAGTGAAGTTTCTGACTTGTTCCAATATTTGTGTCAGGTAATGGCAACATTAAAATATCTCTGGATCAAAGCTGATACCCATATAGATATTAATGCAGGTCTGTAAAATTGAAACAAAAATGTATGGTCAACCTTTTCAAAGCTCAGAAGGCCTCGTGAATGAATTTAAAGGAACAGGAAATGAGCACGCAAAAGCATTAGGCAACTTTGCAAATCTCGGCCTAGATTTTGTCGCACCTGCCTCAGTCGCTCCAGATAGAAATGTGCCGTAGAAATGATAATATTGAACAATAATTAAGAAATAAAATCTCACGGAGTCTCATCCTATTTGTGATCTTCCTTCAGACTTTTCGGTCCTCTCTTTTGGCCCGAAATATCCATAGAATCATAGAATCATAGGATTGGAAGGGACCTCGAGAGGTCATCGAGTCCAGCCCCCCGCCCTCAAGGCAGGACCAAGCTCCGTCTACACCATCCCTGACAGATGTCTATCTAACCTGTTCTTAAATATCTCCAGAGAGGGAGATTCCACCACCTCCCTTGGCAATTTATTCCAATATTTGACCACCCTGACAGTTAGGAATTTTTTCCTAATGTCCAATCTAAACCTCCCCTGCTGCACTTTAAGCCCATTACTCCTTGTCCTGTCCTCAGAAACCAAGAGGCACAAATTTTCTCCTTCCTCCTTGTGACACCCTTTTAGATATTTGAAAACCGCTATCATGTCCCCCCTTAATCTTCTTTCTTCCAAACTAAACAAGCCCAGTTCATGAAGCCTGGCTTCATAGGTCATGTTCTCTAAACCTTTAATCATTCTTGTCGCTCTTCTCTGCACCCTTTCCAATTTCTCCACATCTTTCTTGAAATGTGGTGCCCAGAACTGGACACAGTACTCCAGCTGAGGCCTAACTAGTGCAGAGTAGAGCGGCAGAATGACTTCACGAGTTTTGCTTACAACACACCTGTTGCTACAACCTAGAATCATATTTGCTTTTTTTGCAACAGCATCACACTGTTGACTCATATTCAACTTGTGGTCCACTCTGACCCCTAGATCCCTTTCCGCCATGCTCCTTCCTAGACAGTCGCTTCCCATCTTGTATGTATGGAACTGATTGTTCCTTCCATATTCCCTTGCTCTGTTTTTAACTTGCTAGGGGCCTGCTGATCCTTTCCCACCCTCCTGCAGTCCACTGATTACAGGCCACATGAGGGGCACAGACGGGGGTGTATTGATTTTGTGGCCTCACATATCAGTTGTTTTGGAGACGAGTTGATTTGTTCAGCCCAAAGTTATTCATGAATTTTTCTCAAATGACCTGAGTATTTTCAGCAAAGATCTATCAAAATCTTTCAAGACTTAGACGCTGAGCAGCAACCAGCCCATTATAATATTTAACCAGGTGTTTGGCACAGTTGTGTGGGGGATTGGGTGGAAAACCCACATTTAATATCACCCTGCCTGATGGAGATTGGAATCTTCAGTTTCCTATATTGGAACCAGAGTGCTATCGCTTACGGAATCTTCCCTTGTGCTTGAAATTGGGGGTTAGATTTTCTCTAAGGACTCGGGCACCAAACCTCACTGATCTTCCTTGGGTTCCTAAATCCGTAGTGTTTTTGAAAATCCCACCTTCAGATACACTAAAGGAATAGCTGGAAAATTAACAAGATTCTCACACAAAATGGGAAAAAATATTAACCATGGATTACAGGCTAGCTGCCAAAGGAGTCTACTACTGAAAGAGTCAGAACACCCATTGGTGCAAATCAATGCACTGGCCAGTAGAAAGCGGCACGTTGCAGTTTGATGCCTGCAGAGGTTGGGGGCAGCTGAATGGAGGTTTAGAGAATCCCGTTGGGGCAGGATTCTGGGATTTAGGCACCTATAGTGGTGAGGAGCCTGATATAAACATAATGAAAAGAGAGTGGTTACACCAATGAACTGTTTGGACCATGGGAATGAAAACTCACTTTAACTTCTAGCAATAATTCAAAGGACAATCAATGTCGCTGTTCATTAATTCCCAAAGATCTCAATTATAAACCCTCCATCCCCCAATGAGATCAATTAGAGAAGGCACAGTTTGAAGTCAATTGGGCAATTCTTGTGTTGTGTTTCAGCATCAATTATTTCAATCCCAAATTCCCCAATTGTTACAAACAGGTGAGCACAAGGGGTTTGGAGCAGCCCGTCGGGATTTCAGCTGATATGAATCCAGTTGATTGTTGTACTGTCCAAATGTTGGTAAAACATGACGACAATTTGGAACCTTTGACCCATTTCTTAGTGAACCCCGGTCAGAGCCATGGCTACAGCTCCAGGCGCAGGACTGGTTTGAAGCCAGTAGCTGGAGCGTTGGTTACGCTCTCGACTAAATAGCCTGATTTCCAGACTGTGATTAAATTATCAGTTACTCAGCAAAATATATTTAGCTCCTTCAATCTCTGCCATGAGGCAGTTTTCCAGACCATGAATCGGCCGTCTAGCCTTTCCCTGAAACTATTCTACTGACTCCACATGGTTTTAATGTAGGGTCCTGTCAACTGGGAACAAAATTCTCACTGATGTTTTATACATCTACACGACCAGGAACGTAAGGACAAATAATCCTTCAGTGCTTTGTGCGTGGGTGAATGAAGCTGTACGGCAGTTCAGAGAAAAATATGATATTTCTCCAGACAAGAATGGAGACGTGCCTTTTCCATACTCTGAAGCACAACACACAACGACATCATCCCATAGACATTAGGTGA